CAGGCTAGTGGTGGTGGAAGCGAGAAAATGATGGTGTCTTGGGAAGGAAACTGTCAGGCTACAACCCTAAATTGTCATGCTAACCGAAATGAGATGGCGAGTGCTGAAGGCCACACCGTGTAGGCAGTTGAAACCCTTGTGTCGCCTGCATCACAAGCTGAACAACTCTAAATGGAGAGAACTGATTCGTAAGTCTCCAAACCCTTTGATCTTCCTGCAATAAAAACACTTCCAATTTAAGTGACTTTGCAAGCATAAAAGATATAGATGTCAATGCCAATGTAAATTTGCCCCAATATACAACTTTATACAAGTAGAACTTTGTTCTCAACTATATAACATGTCATTTTTATCTCTGAGCAGCATGAAATTTATAGAACTTTTATTTTGTGATTTGACTGATACTTGTCACAATATCCAAGAGAATTCAACTTCTGTTCCATTGGAATCTCATGAAATAGCATAGCATACTGAATGTTAGTGGCCTGCTAGTTGAATAGTTCTTGTTACTTGATTTAGTACCATCATTAATCATTCTTGCAAGCTGGCTTTAGATGAGAATCTGGAGAAGATTACTAGCCATTGCATTGAAATTGGTTTCAAAAGAGGTGGACTTTTACGACTTTGTCACAACTGGTTCAAAGATTCAAAGACCATTGTTTCATCACTTTTCTTTGACTACTTAACTGAGCTTTGATCATTCTTCTTTCTGTCACGTGGTAGTTGAAGTAGGTAGCAAAACGGTTGAGGAGTAATCATGGCTGATAATATGGGCAAAAGGATTGGAGTTTAGGCTATAGCATTCATAATGCATATGAGTATTCATATACTTGTCTGGTTTCTGGGAGACCTATGAGTGATTATTAGCAAAGTTAATTAGTTGATTAATTCCTGGGATATGATCTTGTGTCGGTCCCTGTAGGAAATCAAGTCTCCTTCTTTTAATTAATGGCAAGTTAACAAAAAAGAGTTCAACTCGCTGTTTGATTATGCATTATTTGTCCTTGGAAGGTCTAATGATCTATGTTGCTTTGACTTGGCATAAATGCTCGATACAGTCTGTTACCGAGGACAACACAATAAGTCTCTTTCAAGTTGCTCTACATATTCAATTGTATCATCTGTGTCCCCAAAATTCATCACTAGCTAGTTGATTATTATTATGCTACACATGATCCTGTTGTTAAATTCTTCCTGCAGCTGATACCAATTGCAATCACCTATCTATAAAATTTTAATTTTCATTTGTATTATGATTGTGATTACTGATGATTAAATTATAGCCGTGAGATATTAAGGAAGGAGAAGCAGCATATGAGCAGACAAACTCAAGATTGCAGAATCATGTCCACGTAAGTATCTCTCTCTTACCCTCTCTGCCTTTATTGAATGCTCATAGAAGCAGGACCCCATGCATATGACTCATTCATGGTCACTGGCTCACTGCTTGCCCCATAAAAATCAGCCTCAGACAATATCATGTAAGAGAAACAGATGAAGGGCCGGGCAGGCACATGGGTTTTCCTGTCCTTGGTCCCTCTGCTTGTCTTTGGCTGTTTTTTATTTTTTTCCTGGTTTTATTGCTTTAATTTCTCCTCATCTTCAACATCCTTGTTTGTTTGTTTGTTTTTTTTTTTTTTCATCGTCAGTCACAAGATTCCTCCTACCTATCTAGTTCGCTCAAAAAATAAAGTTTTGAGAAGATAAGACAAGTTTCACTTCATCAATCTGAAAATTTCATTTCCAATTAAGTGAATCTAAGTCTGAATTGAAAATGACATATGATCATTTTTTGTCGTTGAAGACTTGTAACATATGGCACCTAGATGTAACCACCATGTTCGTTCTCTAATATGAAAGATTATCTCCTTTTCCATGCCTTTGAATGAAATCAATTATGCCCTGGCCTTTTATTCTATTTTTCTTCTTTTCCATTCTCTTAGTCTTTTCTATGTATCTTGTTCCATCCAAATCCGATGTTATAATTTAAATTTATCATCATTACTTTCTGATGGAGGACATTACCACCAAAATAGTAGGTCATTAATTATGACATATTTTTAGCTCTTTGCTATGTGGTGGATGAATTTTTGGTTAGCCTCAAAATCACAATCAAGGGCAAGGAGTACATCATTGTCGGTTCACTATCTTATTGGCTTTACTTCATCTTTTGAACACTTGTTATCTGTAAGGTGTTGCAGGGCATCTTCATTTTGGTTCCTCAATCAACTCCACATCACCGTCAAAAATAGATTACAGAATCCCACCCCCCCTCCTCCCCCAATTTATATCATTTTTCCACGACAATTCTACCTAAATATGATAGACCTCATTTTTTTATGTGGTATCTTGAGAATGGACAATCACAATAATGATAAGCCATCATTTTCAAATGGTAATCAAAGAAATCCCTCTAGTTTAATTTTCCCTCAAAGAAATCCCTTTAGCACTAGACCAGTTGTAGTAGAAAAATTTTGGCTAGAATTGATCACGGTCATATAATACTCTGTTTTATGTGTTATCATTCTTGTTATCGTTCTTGTATTCTTGATATCATTTGCTAGTAATGAAGTTGTCTTCTTATTTAAAAAATATAACAATAATAGGGAAATATTATTGGGACAATCATTTTGTCTCATATTTTTGTACAACCTGATGTTTTATTAAAATGATTGGTTCTTTTAATTCATGTAAGACTCGTAATATTAAATACATCCACTTATTTAATAACATATGAAAATTATATAAAAATATTAGATAAAAAAATTATCATAATAGCATCACCCATAATAATAATAATAATAATAATAATAAAACAAACAGTGGCCAAGCTGGAGAAAACAGGGAGCGATTAAGGGGCATAGACAGTATCTTTGTCGGAAAAAACCCAATCTTAATTTGGGAAAGACTGGAAAACAGGGCAATCTTCCTATATTGGCATGTTTTCACCTAGTTAATTTTTTTCATAGGGAACACAAATTTGATGTCTCTCTTCTTATTTTTGGGGACGACTAGATGCTACTACTCTTTGATCATTGCCTTACTCTCTTTAGAATTTTGGATTGCCTTCTTTCTTCTGTATTGGTGGGTAGTTTAGGCAATTGCCCTTGAAATCTTTGGAGGAATTGGTACATCATTCTGCTTCTTTGGGGCCAAAGGAAACCCAATAAATCAAAAAAGTTGTCTTAAACTAATTTTGTTTGTGGATGTTATTAAGTCCATTGATTATAAGTGATAATCCTACAGTGGAATGTTGAAGCAGCATAAAAGCGCATGATTAAAGATTAATCTTATAACTTAATTTAAAGATTCACTTTAAAATTTTGATTTGGAGTAAATGTTGCAAGTTTAGAAAAAATGGTAGAGTGAATTTATAAATTACAAGATAATTATATTGATAATCTTATTGATTTAAAAAATGGAGAATAAGCTATGTTGGTTTCCATTTTATTTTTATTGAATTTTCTTCTTGCATTTGAATTTACTGCTTAAAAGTATAACTTTTTACATTCAAAGCAAAGTCACTTTTAGTTTTCAATGTTTCACGCTTTCACCCTTGAAATAAAAAAGAATAGGAATGTAAAATTGCAAAGCCCCACATTGGCAAAACCGAAACATGACATATTTTTCTTAACCTAAGAATCATGGTGCCAACACCCCATGTGTAAGCACTTTTGAGTTTCTCTTTCACATGACTGCCATTGCCAATTGCCATGCATACTTTTTCCAAGCTCCAAAATCTCCCTTTGTGCCTCCCAATTATCTTTCCCCTCTCTCTTGTTCCCATCACTCTGCAATAAAACATTAAAAAGTTGAATAAAAGTGTGTGCATAATTGGAGATATGTGCTGTGAAGTATATGATGAGGTCTGGTCAGTTGGGGCTGGGGCCTGTTGAAGGGGAGAGATTCAGTCATCATTTAATTGTTGTGGGGGCGTCTGGAAAAGGTCAGCACGTAACACTGGTTTTCATAATGATAGAGGAATACAAATTCAGAACAAGATCAAGCTTCTTCTTTTTTTCTTTTTTTCTTTTTCTTTTGCTCTAGTCTCTCTTCATGTAAAAGTCCCAACACCTCCCACTCTGGTTATTTTTATACCCTAAAAAGAACAAAACTTTCTTGGCTTCTTTCTTTATATATTTGGCCATTATATTTATGGCCACCCTAATCATCACTCTCATAATAATTAATCACAAAGATTATTTTGAGGAGGTTGAATTATGAAAAAAGAATCCTTTGGAAAGGAAAGGTGGAAGGTGAGCATATGCTTGTGGGACATCACCACAAATAACCCAAAATGATGTGTCTAGAACAGATAGATTTTTTTATATGTGAAACTTGAATAATTTAGTATAAAATTAATTAACATTAAATAAAATAACTTTTATTATATATAACTTATTTATGTTTTGTTATTCAGATTATTTTAAATTGTAAAACATAAGATTATCAAATTTAAAAGGTTTGGCTCCATATTTAAGGGAATTCCTCATTTTATGACTTCTGCTATACCAAGCTATATAATACATTTTTTTATTTAAAAAAGCAAATTGAAAACTTTTTTTTTCTTAACTTTCTAAATTCTGAAACCTTTATTTTTTTATTATTTTATACATAGAAACTAATTATTAAATTTTAAATTTATAATTAAAAGAACAAATAACTCTATTATTTGATCACATAACTTATAATTTAAAACTTCTCTTTTAAATGTTATAAAACTTAAAATTTTGATTAATAGAACTATTAACAAATTTTTTTATTATCAAAGGATGTTTTAAATTTATATCTTTAAGGTAAATATTAAAATGTAATAAATAAATAAATATATATATT